AGGTGGAGGACTTTGTGGACTGGTGTTGGGTAAATGGGTTAATGTTGGACTTGTGGGCTTGGGCAGCATTGGGTTGGGATGTTTTCATGATGCACATTTTCTTTACATAAAACTCTCTTATACATGAGTTGCTGTGGATTTGTTTCTCCAAAGTACCTAAACTAATACAATAGGAATGAGTGTTCTGTTAAATGCCTTATCTGCATCCATAGGTATAATCATGTGCTTATTTTATTATAGCGATTGTTTTCTAATGCGTACTACGTTTGGGATGTATGTGTAACTGTTGTGTTATTTGTATTGTTTTACAGTTATTACAAAGTAGATAGCAGACATAAGGACATTGGTGTTTGCTCTATTGTACTACAAGAGTAGAGTGCATTTTTGTGAGAATGCCTAGGTTTATGTTTGTTTCATGTAGACACCATTAATAATTTTTTTGCCACAATTAATAATTTATTGAGAATTACGTCAGGTTTTGAGATTTGAGAATCTGTAGGGAGATCTAGATGGTCACATTTTCTTGTCTCTAGTTGGAGCTCTTGTAACTTTTATTACCTTTTCTTATCTCTTTCAAGAGAAAGTGCTGATGTGAGGACAACTGCATTTCTGAAAAACAGGCGACTGGCGTCATTCATGATTTGCCCCAAGAATAGCCTTTATTTTAGCAGGTGACCCTCTCCCTTTTGGACCTTCTTGAGTGGTTTAAGAAAGCATGTGAAGCCTGGGTTTCCCTGCATGCTTCTTCATGCCTCCTTTCCACCCGTGACTGCACGGGGTCAGTGGAATCACTGACGTTCTACTGTGTTTCCTAGTTAGTTATTAACACCTCTTCCTGCCTTCATGTGTGCTTTTGTGTTTCCTTGAGAAGGCTGGTCACTTTGAGGAAAATAGTTGGAAATGTTTGTGCACTAGAAAGGGGAAAACCGAATGGCAGCATAAAACTTCAGTTTGGTCACAAACTATATAAAAATGATTTAAGTACATTGGAATTATGTAAGACAGGATGTAATCAGTGCGGATGTAAATGTAGGTAGTAAAAGACAAGGCTAATAACTATATTTTAGAATATTGCCCGATGGAGTATGGAACCTTGTAGGAATATACAATCAGTAGGAATAGTGAGCTGCCCAGTACTGCTGGCCTCACTGCTCTGTCATACATTAGACTACACAGTGCCTTGCTGATCAGAACGTGTGTGATGTTTAGGACACAGTGGTTATTGAGGATGTGGCTGTGATCTTTAGCCAAGAAGAGTGGGCTTTGCTGGATCTCACTCAGAGAAAACTCTATGAAGATGTGATGATGGAAACCTTCAGAAACCTGACCTCAGTAGGTAAGCATGACATTTTTTAAAAATAATTCCTTTTACAAGCAAAAATATTTTTCTCATCAATGTTGCTAAAATATTCGGGATGAGAAATGGGAATAAATAATTAAATAAGATAGGCATGTTCCCATTGTTTGTGGACAGGACATAGTCTGGGTTTCACCAAGACCAAAATCTCTTTGTAGGAGAGTTTTTATTTCTCTTGTGATTAGAAGCCCTGAGGCTCTTAATCGTTGTAAATATAAGCAGTGCCCTCAGGGTCTGAGAAATTTGTGCTGTGGCACCTGGTAATGAGTGTTACTATGTTTACTACACATTTGATGGTATTTTTGGTGTCAAATTCACAATTCTCTATATACAGACACCGTGAAGAGCCATGTTTTGGTTCATTGCTCTTTCTGTCTTCTCTAATAAAGCACATGAGCACCATGCCAGCCACACCCATTTTTGTTCCTGCAGGAGAAAGGAAGTAGAGATAGGGAATTATATTTGGATCACTTGGCTAGAAAACTTCTATTTGGTGGTGAACACAATTTCAGTTACTGGGGTTTGCTTTTTCTGATTTTAGAACTCCTCTCATACCTGGTTCTGAACGCTTCCTATTTTAATATTTATTGTCTAGTGTGTGCAAAATGTTTATCCTTTGCTCTCCTAATTACACCCGTTTGTCACCATCATTATTAATCTTCATGGATATATTTCAAAGTAAATTGCATTTTAATCATTACCAAAGTGCTGAAACAGCAAAATGTGGCTAAATATTTATTTGTTCACAGCACCCTTCCCTTTTTGTTTCATATTGTGAACTTCAACTTTTAAATAGCTGGGTCAGTCTCTGAAGACCATAATGATGGAGGAACGCTACCCACTGAACATACAGTGCTGCAACTCATGAAGAATGACACTTGGTCCTCCAGGTCAGGAGAAACTTTTGAATTGCCTGGGAATACTAGCCAACACGAAAAACATTTAAGGTGAGAGTCATTCTTAAGCACAAATAGTGCATCAGAACAAGGTCCTGAAATGTCAGTAAGCTATGTACTTGTATCCATAGTGATTTCAAAAGATTTGGAAAAGCAGAATTTAATGATTGTGAAATTTTCCCACAAACTTATATGAAGACATCTCAAATATGGAGCTTTTATAGTACACTCAAAATCAGGCATTAGTCTGCTAACTGAAAAATTTGTGAAACAAACCTACCTGTCACAATTTGTGAGAAAGATGTAGGTGTGTACTTTCATAAAAATTATATCCTTGGAAGTCATGTCAAATATTTCAACGTACGGTTGCAATGAGATTGTTTCTCAGTTTTAGCGTGTGTATGTAAACAGTGCTTGCTGTGGAGCAGTAAAGTGGCACAGCGCCCCACTGTGTACTGAAAAAGCAGCATTCCAGCTCTCCAGCCATTCCACAATAGGTAGGTGTGGTAGTCACCTTTTTAAAAAATGGATGAGCTTAGAAAGTCTCTGAGCCATTTTACTTTGTTCTATGTGGAGCTGAGTCTGAATCAACTTGGCACCAGAGTATAGTGGATGTGTATACGTAATCCTTTGTAAAATAGAGGATTGGCAGAAAAAGAAGACCCCCCAGCAGAAGGATTGACACAGTGGCAACCAAGGGCTCAAACAAAAAGTGTCACCAGAAACAGACAGTGTTTCATCTTGTTGCACTTAGAGTTGCAATGAGTCAGAGCCCATTCAGTAGCACCTCGTGGTGGCAATATATGAACCATACCTAAAAAGTATGTATTGAACAGTGTTTTCACAATAGAACACTGTAATAAATGTGAGTCAGATATTGTGTGTTTGAAACAAATTTCGCTTGGATACCCTTATTAGAAAGCCACATATTATAGGACAAACTGGCCAAAATTGTAGTTTTTGTCCTAGGTCTTTTAACCTATGAAGCTTGACAATTCAGAGCAAAAGTTATTCATGTTAACTGTTTTTTAATGTTGAGGTAGGAATCAAATATATTGCCAACAACATGATGCCTACTTTTAACAGAAATTATATTGGAGAGAACCTCTGTGGAAGTAATGAAGACTACCAGTGTGCGGCAACTTTCAATGGACTTCAAAATCTTACCGTGCTTCAAAGAAATCCTCCAGAAGTAAATCGAACTGAAAGCTGTGAGTTTGGAAATATTTTCATGGATCACTTATCACAGAAGTATCAAAGCAGATTGCACACTGGATATACCTCTCACGTATCTCTCCCTCCTATGAGAGTTTTTAATGGAAAGAAACCACATCATGGTAAGGTATATGACAACGACGTCATTGGTATCTCACCACTCGAGGCTCCTGTGACAACACTCAGTAAGGAGAAACGCTGTGAAAGCATTGACCGTGGGATGCATTTCTGTATGTTCTCATCCTTTTGGACACATGAGCTAGGCCATGAACATGAATGTATAGAAAATTGTAAAATCCGTACTTATCCTTCATCTCTTATTTTACATAAAAAGTTTAATAGCAGAGATACACCGTATGAATGTAAAGAATGTGGTAAAGCCTTTAGAAAGCCCTCCTACCTCACTCGACATATAAGAGCTCACACTGGAGAGAGGCCTTATGAGTGTAAAGACTGTGGGAAAGTCTTTAGTCAATCCTCATATCTCATTGAACATAAGAAAATTCACAGTGGAGACAGGGACTATGTATGTAAGCAATGTGGAAAAGCATTCAGTCATCCTTCTAACCTCTGTCAATATATAAGAACGCACACTGGAGAGAAGCCTTATAAATGTAATGATTGTGGGGATGCCTTCAGTCTGTCCTCATCCCTTAATGTACATAAAAGAATTCACAGTGGAAAGAGTGCCTATGAATGTAAGCAATGTGGGAAAGCCTTTAGACAGACCTCACACCTCATTCGGCATATAAGAACTCATAATGGAGAGAGGCCTTTTGAATGTAAAGACTGTGGGAAAGCCTTTATTCAATTCTCAAATCTCATTAAACATAAAAAAATTCACAGTGGAGAGAGGCCTTATGAATGTAAGCGATGTGGGAAAGCCTTTAGAGAGATATCAAACCTTACTAGCCACTTAAGGATTCACACTGGAGAGAGACCCTATGAATGTAGGCAGTGTGGGAAAACCTTTAGATGTTCCTCAGTTCTCACTACCCATGTTAAGAAGACACAGTGATGAGCGACCCCATGAATGTAATGAATGTGGGAAAACATTTAAGCGGTTCTCAGCCCTCACTACATATAAGAACTCACAGTGGTGAGAAGCCCTATGAATGTAAGCAGTGTGGGAAAGCCTTTAGTCTGCAGTGTGCCCTCTCTCGCCATTTAAGGATTCACACTGGAGAGAGACCCTATGAATGTAAGCAGTGTGGGAAAGCCTTTACACTACAGAATAACCTCATTCGCCATTTAAGAATTCACACCGGAGAGAGGCCCTATGAATGTAAGCAGTGTGAGAAAGCTTTTGTTTCTTCTTCATCCCTCAATACACATATCAAGATTCACACTAGAGAGAACTTATGAATGCAATGAGTGTGATAAAGCTTATAAACCAGGCTCTGTTCTCAGTTCACATAAAGGGACTCAGTGGAGAGGGGGTCCTGTTAATAAAAGGAATATGGGGAAACTTTTAGGAATTACCCCATTCTAAGCATAGTGGGTCACATAATGGGGCCTTAGGAATGTAAGCAGTCTGGGAAAGCCTTTTGGGATTGTCTAGCCCTTACTACACATACAGGAAATCGCAGACAATAGAGAGGCCCAGTGAATGTAATAAATATAGGAAAGTCTTCGACACCTCTCAGTCCTCACTGCACATAGGAGGGTTGACACTGGAGTAAGGTCCTATGATTGTAAGTGCTGTGGCAAGCATAGAGTTTCTTATCACCTGAACACAGAGCAGGGAGAGGCCTTATTAGGAATGTAGGAAAGCCTTTAGTTGTGCTTTTCCAACACTAACTATATTAAAGTAGAACAGTTGAAGGTGTTAGGAATACAGCATGAGGGAAAGCCTTTAGTTGTCATCCTTCATGACACAAATTCACATGGAAAAAAATAACCTTACTGATGTTAATCAGATTAGAAACTTGATGTCCTTTCCATCTCATATGATCCATAAAAACTTATAGTAGAGATTACTCTTTCAAAAACCGGGTATTTCATCCTTCTTTAACTTCGGATAGCAAATGCCTGTGATGCTAGTTAAAGAACAAACTTTCTCAATGATTCAGAATGCAATTGTAACTCAAAGATGGAGTCATTATAACTTTTTGTGCCTTTGAAGAAAAGGAAAATGTTACAATAACATTGGAATAATCCTCATATTTGATTGTCACATCCTAAATCCAAGCTAAATTTGACCTCCCTTAAAGATGTTGGCTATTACAAAATGTGCTGCATGATATGGAAAATATTAATACTTTTAAAACTTTGTATACAATAAAATAACACTGATCGGATACTTGCTTTGAGTGTTTTGGTTTGTTTCTGTATTTATCACATTCTTCTATTCTCCTCATTGTAGAGTTAACTTTCATCCTTTCAATTGCTAAATTTATCATAGGGTAAAATGTATTTTGACAATTATTACTGATAATTATAATTACTCTATGATACTTCCTGTGACAGCCGCTTTGGTCCTTTATTAATTGGAATACTGCAAAAAATAACTTTTCCTTCTCTCTCTTTTATATATTAAATTGTTTGTACAAATATAAAACTCCAGAGAATCACACCTTAAAATCACACCCACTGCCTGCAAGTCAATTTTGACTCAATGGTCCTATGCCTATTTTACATGGCAGTAGATGTTTATGAAAGAAGGCAGCCTCAAGTTTCTGCTATTTAGCAGATGGTGGCTTTGGACCACTTACCTTTTGGTTAACTGCCTCATGCCTAACCGCATCAATAAGCTACTGGGGTTATTACTTTAGTTGCCCCAGGTTTAGTTATTAGGAGTTATGTTAAGTAGTTTTTTGTTTTATTTGGATTTTTTTTCACTTGTACCTATTTTCATACTTGCTGCAAATATTCAAAACATATCTTGCCCTTTTCCTTGCTGAGCCTTGCAATCATAATTTTCTCCTAGAAGGTTGTTAAGTGCTACTGAGTCGGTTCTGACCCATAGCAACCTTATGCACAACAGAGTCAAACCTTGCCCAGTCCTGAGTCATCCTCCAGTCGTTCCTATGTTTGAGCCCATTGTTGCAGCCACTGTCTCAATCGAGTTCCTTGGGGGCCTTCCTCTTTTTTTGCTGCCCCTGTACTTTATCACACATGATATTCTTCTACAGGGACTGGGCTCTGCTGACAATGTGCTCAAAGTATGTAAGACATATTAGGCTTACTTTAACAATAGAATGTCATTTAGGTGCTAAAATCACAGCACTAGGAAGCTTATAGCTACTGTGCCCGAAAGTGAGGAGAGCTAGGAGATACATGAGGGGCTTCAACAACTTTCATGGAAATTTTCCATTTTCTTTTCTTTTTTCTCATATTTTTGAAGCTACCTCAAATGCATATATTTATATCTATTCCTGTGTGTCTCTGTGTATTGTAAAATACCTTGGGATCATCATGCCCACATCTCTGATACCCATCTAACACTACAGTGTTCATTTTAGTCTTTCATATATTTGTATGGTACTGTATTCTTCAATTTTAATAATAATGGCTCCCGTGATCTATAACATTATTTGTTCACCCTTAAATATATGTACCAAGGAATTGTAGCAATCTTATGAAGTGATAAAGGATTGAGCTTTATCAGGCCAACTTGGGCTTTCAGATTTCTGAGAGTTAAAAGTGCATTTGAGGCTAAAAAATGAGAGTTGTGCAGAATAGTGCATTATTTAATGTATCATAGCCAAAGTCTCTAACTGATATCAGTAGACCTCTACCTCCATAGGTCTGGTAAGAACATGAGGGGTTGTACTGATAGTTTTTACTTGTGACTAACTAAACTGGATTCCCTGGCATGTTATCCTGCTGCATATAAAGTGAGCCCTTCATAGGGGGAGCTAGTCCTACTGACCCACAGAAGTGGAGCTGAATGCCCTTGAGCTGAGGCTTCTGGGAGTGGGGTGCCTGTGGGCAATTAATTCCGTCATCTGGGTTTGCTGACCGCAGAGCTTGAGCTAAATGGCCTTGGGCTGAGACTTAGAGTTGAGGTGTATGCCCCTTTGGACATCTATAGGCAGCCCTGAAAGAACATTGTACCATTTCCTGATGAAAAGCTTTCTCCTGAGCATTTCTCACTTGCCTTACAACCTGTTAACTTCCTTTAAAAAACATCCATAAGCATGAGTATTGTCTATAAGTTAGGTAAGCATTGCACTCAATATTATAGCCTAGAGATAAAGAATACTGGTTAAAATGACATAGTGGGTAAGACCAGGGCACCAAATGGTTGCCTGATGGTAATCTCTTAAAGCGTAATTTTGTGATCGTATTGGCCTGGTCAATAAAAGTAAAGAAGGAGCGTAAATTGAGCTTCCTGCATGGTGAGAAACATCTGGGCCTTTGAGGGTATCATGTCTTAGAGACATGGGAGTTCTGCACTGGACCTCTCTGATCTCATTCTGTGCATCTCTGCATTCATATTCCTTTTTTAAAAAAATACTGCTGATAAAGGGATGGCCTTTTTTAAGTTCTGTGACTCTACCTAGGGCATCAGAAGACTAAGATGCACAAGCCCCAAACAGTGGTATTTTCAGTATCACCTATGTGTGAAAACTGGACAATAAGGAAGACGAGAAGAACTGATGCATTTGAATTATGGGGATGCCCTTGGATGAAGACCCAGAGTCCTAGTGAAGTTCCAGTGGGGAGGAAGGCAAAAGGCAAAAGAAAGGAAGACTCTCTCTCCATCTTTCTTATACAACAGGCCACAACCCTGGGGAGGCATCATCAGACTGTAACCCCATTGACAGGTTGGATTCCACCCCTACGCTTTCACACAGGGTTAACTTTACATAAAAATCTAATTGCCACGGACACCCCTTGGAAACTTGGCCCCAACACAACTCTTTAACCATATGTAATCTCTAGACAGAGATAATGAAATCATGTCTGTGCCTAACAACATACAACTAAATCGTGTGCAATCAAAAATGAACCAGCCACATTTAAACCTTTTAAAAGTGAACAAAACAAAAATATTCTATGCCTAGCAATTGCAGATTTGTAAGCACCTAGACCTGAATCCTATAATCCTATCTACATCCTCCTCCACCAATGAACGTTTGTAAACCAGACATCCCATGCCTTCCTTTCCCTCATGTTGGGTACCCAATATCTAAACTGCCTACTTCTATCAACCCACTGCTCAGAGGAGACAAGTATGTTCTTTGATGTGAAGAATCTTTATTACTATTGGAACTTTGGGTGTCTGCATCCATAACCAAAGTCAAATCTAGCACAGGTCATCATCAAATCAGCAAGCAATGCCAGTAAATGCCATAGCAAGCTAGGGAATTACCTGATAACTCCCCCACTTCTACCCCCAGCCACTTCATACCACTGGTCCCTTCCAAAATTCTCATCAATCCTAGCCCCCTCATGCTATGTCATCCCATAGGCTCAGGATCTAAGCAATTCTTTAAACTTCAGACCACCCACCAACTTCTCACCTCTCCTTACGTTCCTGTGAATCAGGTCTATGGGCATCAGTGGACAAACTCAACCTGCCTCCTCATAGCTGCATTTCCCCCACTTCCACTCAAGTGGATCCAGGTGTTCACTTAGCGAGCACTTCATGCTGCTACGGGCTCTCTCTAACTTTAAATCCTATACGAGGTTTCTAATGGGCACAGCGTTTTCAGCATAGGCACATCCACAGGCAAACCCCTTGCTCAAAATTTAAAATCAATGCCACCTGTTTGCCTTATGCACTCTCAAGGGCAAATGTCCTGGCATTCAAGGCACTGGGAAGGGCTAAACTTTACTAAACCGTTTACCTTGTCTCCTTGTGGGTAACTCCTAATACTTGAGTATAACAGGATCCCTGGTGGGCAGTGGTAATGAGTTGGACTGTGATCTGCATGGTTGCCAATTGAAATCCAGCAGCAGCAGCTCCTCAGGAGAAAGACTGGGCTTTATAGTAAGCCCACAGTTACAGTCTGAGAAACTCACGGGTAGTCCCTATAAGTCAGCATTTATTCAATGGCAGTGAATGGGTGAGTGATTTTAACTTGATGCCCTGGTGGAATAGTGGTTACAAGTTGGCCAATGATCCACAAGTTTGGCAGTTCAAAACCACCAGACACTCCTTAGGAGAAAGGTGGGGCTTTCTACTCCTGTAAAAAATTGCAGTCTCAGAAACTCACAGGGACGATTCTACTCTGTCCTATAGAGTCAACTATGAGCCAGCATCGACTTGATGAGTAGTGAGTTTGGTTTTGAATTTTAACATTATGTACTAGCTAAAGGTGAAGATGGGTGGGTTTATAAGTGCTTTCTAATCGTTTCTAATGTTCATTTCTATCATATTTCATGTCGATAACAGTAAGCAGGAGAAATCCATATAATCCTAGAACACCCAGATCCTAAACACAATTCTTTTAAAAACATTCCAATTCCATCTTTTCTTATTGAGACTATTCCATTAGTAGACTGTGGCCTTAGGCTCCAGAGGTCAAGTCCTCTGGATTCAGTCATTTTGTGTAAGCAGAAGAGCCTTGAACTCGTTCTAACTACACAGTAGCAAAGCCAAATGGAAAAAATTATGGTCAAGGGGCTGAACAGAAAATTTCAAAGGGCAGTTGAGAAAACCGGTTAAGGGAAAAAAAAGATTGAGGTGCAGACTTAAGAATATGCAAAATCCTAGAGTTAGAAAACCAAAAGGGAACACCACACTCAGCATTTCCTAACTGAAAAAATTGAAATAAATTCAAGTGTCAAATCGTAATGTTAAATGGTAATGGTACTGAAGAACGTGCAAACTGCACTGAAACACTACCCAAAACAAGTCTCCAAGAATTGATTGAATACCAATTGATAGGAAATTTGAAAAGTACTCCCTCAATGCAAGAATACTTTGTTCTATTAAATTGGCATTCTATGATGCTCACCTTCCCAACACAACCACTGAAGACAAAGCAGGTGAATAAGCAAATGTGGTGAAGAAAGCTGATGGTGCCCGGCTATCAAAAGATATA